GGGGTGCCTGGGTAGCTCAGTGGTTAAACCTCTGACTTAGGCTCAGGTCATGATTACTCAGTTTGTGAGTTTGAGCCCTGTATTTGGCTCTGTGCTGACAGCTCAAAGCCTGGGGCCTGCTTCAGATTCTGTGTCTCCCTCTCACGCCCCATCCCCACTTGTTCTCTGTCTCTGTCGCTGTCTCTTTCTCAAAATAAAAAAACAAACATTTTAAAAAATTCATGCATGTTGTGTTAAACCAAATTTGCATTTTACTAAAGGAGAGAGATATTAAGGCCTCTATTCCCTATTTACAATGTATTTATAGGGATATGTGCCTCTCATCTTTTAAGACAAAAATAGTACTACAAAAGTACTTGTAACAGTTATATGTGAACGTTTCTGTGTGTAAAAATATTTTTTTCATCAAATTAGCAAGTGAAAACCAAAACAAATGCCAATGTCATTGGGTCTAACTCAGTTAACTGTACCACTTTGAGCCCTCTCTGCCCAGATCATGTCCTTTTCATCTGCTCCACAGAATTGTTTGTTCTGGTCTTTACCTACAAAACCTCTTCAACTGCTTTCTGTTTGATTTCATGTCACTCTCTTTTTCTGTCACTGTTTTGTCTTCCATCGCTGCTGCTTTGTGATTCTTAGGAGATTCCTAGGGGAGGTCACATGAATCAGTGAACAGGGCTACTGGGTTAGGATATACAAGACTGGCTAGCATAGTTCAGGGCCACCGCTAGCCTCGTGCTCTCCACCTGGAACAGCCACCCCAAAGAACACCATACTCAACTTCATTTTAATCTTGCAATACCTATGTGAGTCCTAGTTACTTACTGTTCTACTTTCTGAAAGAAAAACTAAGGGCAGGGACATGGCTGGATGGGTGGGTTCTAGTTTGGGCTGGCTCTGCTATGTCATTTCCTCTCCTTAATCTTAGATAGTGACACCCGTAATTTCCCCTCAAAGTCTCCCTCCACGATCTGACTACTGGTTTTTTTTTTTTTTAATGTTTTATTTATTTTTGAGAGAAAGAGAGAGAGATAGAGACAGTGCGAGCAGGGGAGGGTCAGAGAGAGAGGGAGGCACAGAATCCGAAGCAGGGTCCAGGCTCTGAGCTGTCAGCACAGAGCCTGACCCGGGGCTTGAACCCACGAACCGTGAGATCATGACCTGAGCCGAAGTCGGATGCTTAACCGACTGAGCCACCCAGGCGCCCCACGATCTGACTACTGTTTAACTTCTATTCCTTATCTCTGTCCAGTCTCCTGACTTCACTCTACTATAGCCACACCGCAGGCCTTTAAACATGCTGTTCCCTCTGCCTGACACCCCTCTCTTCTACCCCTGCACCTGACTCATTCCTACTCATCCTTTCAGCCTCAGCTAGGAAATTAGCCCCTCAATGGAGCTGATTTCCTTTTTTTTTTTTAAATGTCTATTTATTTTTGAGACAGAGACAGAGAGACAGAGGGCAAGTGGGGGAGGGGCAGAGACAGAGAACAGACAGAATCCGAAGCAGGCTCCAGACTGAGCTGTCAGTACGGAGCTGATTGCAGGGCTCAAACTCACCAGCTGTGAGATCACTGTGAGATCACCACCTGAGCCGAAGTCAGATGCTTAACGGATTGAGCCACCCAGGCACCTGGGAGCTGACTTCTTGATTCAGGTTAGGCCCTCATATGGGTTCCCATAGAATCCTGGTTCTCTCTGCATGTCTCACCATTCCTCAGCTTCCATCTGGAATTAGCTGTTTACTGTCTGGTTTGCCAGCTAGAGTGTATGGCTAAAGGTAAGGATCCTGTCTTTTTTATTTCTTCTGTGTCACTTATACTTAGCACATAGTTGGCACTCGATAAATATCAGCTGTGGGTGAAGAAAAGCAACTAATAAGCAGGGCGTCTTAGGAAGTTTCTCCAGATTGATACCACCTTCCCCCCTTTTGCTCCAGTTATAATGGGATATGTAATAAGACAAACATTTCTATTCGTCACTAAGGCTTTCTTGGGGAGAGCACTGTGTTTATTTAGAAGAAATATTGATCTAGCAGATATGAGAATATGGACTTTGAGGATAGATTTTCTGGTTTTGAATTATGGCTCTCCACTCAATGGCTGTAAAACCCTGGGCAAATTACTTCTCTAGGCCTCAGTTTCTTCATGTGTAAAATGGGGGTGAACATAACAGCATCTACCTCAGAGGACTATTGTGAGGATTATATGAATTAACACACACAAAGAACTGAAGAATTACTACATATATAAACAGTAAATGCTAGCAATTGTTATTACTTTTATTAAACCATTAGAGGTTGGGGGGTGGTGAGCTCAAGGAACCAAAGTTGATCACCAAATAATGCTTTGCAGGAGAGTGGTCCTGTTCATCGTGGGTTTTCTGTTTTATATGTTTGAGGAGAGTTGCTGAAGCCAAGCTGATTTACTGTGCCAATTAGAGATGAGATCATTTTGACATTGGCAGGAGAGGGAGGCAAGATGCATTTGTACATTCAACAAATATTTACCGAATGTCTATTTTGTGCTAGACATAGAGGAAAATAAGATAGTCACAGCTGTTACAGAGCTCCCAAAAATTCAAGAAAGAAGAGAGAAGCTAGAGAGGCTGAGGACTGGGAGTGGGTGGGAGGGGGTGCTGAGGGGCAGACCAGTGGGTATGGCACAGCAGAGGAGGATGTTGAGAGAACAGAAATGCTAAGGCAGGATTTTAAAGCATCTGCTATAGGATGTGTCATGTAAATCCTCCCCTCCACCCCCTACAAAAATCTTCAATAAAATTTTCATTGCTCACTGGAGACAGCCCGAAGAAGGGGAAGATAGCAGATATCTGGGTTATAACTGTTAGGGGAAAGAAGCTATAGGCCAAAAAGCCCTTCCTTACTCTTGTGAACTACCAGTAAGGAGGCCTTATCGTGCATGCAATATTTAATGATTATAAATGACACCTTCATGCATTGTGTAATACAAGACCCTTTACCATGAATACAAATTAAACAGTACCAAATAGCAATCATATTAACTGAAAAGAAGAGGGATTATTCAAGACAGGAAACTTGGGACTTCCAGGGAAAAGGAGCCTTGAATCTGGGAGTCACATATGACCACCAACTAGCCCCTTTGTGCTTAATTAGTCAAACTGGTGATTCCTCAGCAACCATGACTTATTATTTTTTTAATGTTTACTTTTCAGAGAGAGAGTGAGCGAAGGAGTGGCAAAGGTGGGTGGGTGGTTGGGGGGACAAAGGATACAAAGCAGGTTCGGACAGCAGCAAGTCTGATGCGGGGCTTGAACCCACGAACTGTGAGATCATGACCTGAGCTGAAATTGGATGCTTAACCAACTGAGGCACCCAGGCTCCCCCATGACTTGTTATTTTATAAACCACTGCTTACGAGGATGTAGTTTCTTAAACATAAGTATGCTAAGGTTTAGGTGCGGGGAAAGAAGGGGTCCACTGTATACTTAAGGCTCCCATCCTTTTCTGACTTCCAGTTTTTCACTTTTACCATCCTTTAAAATAACAATTTAAGGAAATGTATATATTTCTTTTAAAAAAAAGCAGCAACCTGAGAAGTAATCAGTCATTACACTAAATAAAACAAAACTATCAATTTGCCTGAATTTCCGAGTGAAGTAAATAAAGCTCTGTTGGAATTTACCTACACAAACTGAGACTTTCCAGGGAAGAGAGAAATAAACTAGTTTTTTCCCCCTCTTAGATTTGTTTACTGTGTAAACCCTGGGGTTTTTGCATCTTATAATGTGACTACTGATTAAAAAGATAGATGGTTGTTTATTAATGTTCTCAAAGCATGATGCAAATTCACATCACCTTGGGTATATTTTGCCCCTAAAGCTATGAAGTAAATATGGAAGCATTTTGTAGTTAACAAGACCAAAATATGTTAATTTGAATAGTTGCCTGTGAATAGGATTTTCCTTTAAATCATTAATAGGAAAATGAAGAGAGCTTGGGTGGTCAAGCATGAAATGTAAATGAGAGTAGTTTTCTTTTTTTGTCTCATCATTCGATGTTACTTGATGTTAAAATTTAAATTTGATAATGCAGAATATGACCTTATCATGAAACAATGCAGCTTATGCCCCAGATTTTTTGACAGCAGTACTGAAACCATGATTTTTAAGTACCAATTTCAAATGACAAGTGCAGTGAAATAATTAGACATTTTGAATTGGTGGAGTCAGAAAAAGAGCTTGCCCATCCTTTTATCTACAGGACCATATTTTTTTAAATCACAAACTAAGATAGAGGGTGTTGGAGCAAAGTGGAGACAAACCTAGATCTCTTTAAATGGCTATAAAATTACCAGTGAAATTCCTGAAGGGCCAAAGGATACAGGAAGCATATATTTTTGCCCTCTTCTTAAAATGAGGAATATATTTCTTTAAAACAGAAAAAGGCCTTACAAACCTCATTTCAGCGTTCCGCGTCAGCCTCGGAAAACGGCAACCATTTCCTATTGTCAGGCGGCTGGTGAGAAGCGCAAAGGACAAGCTGCCACCAAGAGCTCAGGAAAATCTAGGTGGACACCAGGCCTCCGTGTCTAACCATTCTGCTACCAGAAAAAAATTTCAGAAAAAGGTCAGTTTAAAACACACACATTTTAGTCAGGTTTTAAGTGTAACTATCTCCCTAAATATGACTGATCCTATGATTAAAGCTTTTCAACTTAGGTGTTAGTGACCCATTTTTTTTTTTCTATTTTGGAGGCCTAAAACAAAAAAAAAGACCTTAGAGTGGCATAAATTTCTATCAAACAAGAAAATGAATTAATTTAGTAGCATTGTAAAACTATGAAATTTGTGCCAGTTTTCAGGTGTCCCAAGATTTAGCCTGCTTTACAGGAATGGCAAAATTCACGGCAACGTTAAGAAATGATAAAAAGCTCATGCTAAAATTTCCTGTCGCAAATATGCTTTACTTTGGAAGGCATCAGCAATGTACCACTTTCCAGAAATGCATTTTTATACCACCAAGCCCCTCCCTCTATGGGCAGACCCTTGAGCAGCTATTGCACTGCACGGAGCTCTTGAGAATGTTCTGGAAGCATCACTGCGAACTAGGAGAGAGAAATGAAATTCAGCAGAAGCAGCAACTTTTGGAAGGAGAAACACCATTTTCCTCATAGAACGCTTTTCTCCTGAAATGGGTTGACTGTGAGCTCTGCTCCTCTGGTGCTTTAAATCTGTGGACCGTTGAACGTCACTCCGCCTTTTTTGAAGTTACAAAAATACTTTCTGTCCGCCGTGTGGCGGGAATAGAAAGTTTGGAACATTAAATGCGTAAGACTTCAGATAACCCAGATGACATACATGCAATAGCATCATCCCATGAAGGACTTAATCAACTCAATCCCTTGCATGTAATTAACCAAGGCACACAAAGGCTCCAAATTCTGCATTCCAAAAAAGGAGGGAAAATGCAAGGGTCCTGCAGCAGTTCCCGGGACCTACGGAGAACTGCTTTGTTACAAGTGTATCCAATGTCCCCAGCAGCAGAGACTTGTGGGGCGCCGCGTATCCCTGCCTCACTCGCTCTGCAGCTCCCAGAGGTGGCGGTTGTGCTATGAAGGTGGACCCTGCCAAGCTGGCTGACAAGATGCTGCGAACCCCCAAGTGCTCCAGGTGCCGGAACCATGGCTTTCTGGTGCCGGTCAAGGGCCACGCGGGCAAGTGCCGCTGGAAGCAGTGCACTTGCGAGAAGTGCTGCCTGATCACCGAGCGCCAGAAGATCATGGCTGCGCAGAAGGTGCTCAGGAAGCAGGCCTCAGAGGAGGAGGAGGAGGCCCTTGTCGCACAGGGGCAGGATCTGTTGATTGGGGCTGCGGCCGCGGCCGCAGTCCTGGGCGCAAGCCTCCGCCAGCTGCCTCTGCTGCCCGCTCCGGGAGACTGGGAGCCAGGCTTCCCAGAGAGGCCCCCGCGGGGCCCGAGCCCTGGCCCGAGCGCCTTCCAGCCGGTTCTGGGCGGCCGTGGCGGCGGCCACGTGGGACCGAGCGGCGATCGAGTCGCGGTGCCGGTTCCCGGTTCGGTGGGGCCGCAACTTGGAGCGGAGGTAGCAGGTAGCGGGGGCCCTAACCGCCTGGAGCTGCGCCGGCCGCTGCGGCCCGTGCCCAGCCCGCCGTTCGCCGACTTCGGTAAGATTCCCAGGCCCTGTGTGGCCTCGCCCCGCCTGAGATTCCTCTCCAATGCCCTACGCTGGCGGCCCAGGCCGTCCAGGGTCCTGCGGGGATGGACCCTTGGGGGAGGGGGGGGGTGAGGAATGCTTTCCAGAGGTACTCTTGATTTGGGAAACTTTCCTCTAAATAGAGATTTGGGTTGGGTGTCATTTTGGGAGAAGGTAAAAAGAGCGCCAGAAAGGAACGCGTGGTTCTGACGGCCGTTAAAATACTAAAATTTAGCTTCTTGCCTTGTGCCGTCTAGCGAGAAAGAAAATGGCCCCCAGATGCCTTAGCTGTGGCTCCTTCTTCAGGAAGACACCTGAGAGAGGGGCCCTACTGCACTTGCGCGCTTCTTCCCGCCCTTTACCCTTGGGCTGGTGGCGCCTCCTTCAGGAGGCCACTGTGGGTGGGCCTGCGCAACTTGACTGCGCCTGCGCACTCCTTTTCCAGCCGCTGGAGGCTCCTCCCAGCGGACTTTCTTTGGAAGGGCCCTGGCCCGTGGCGCCTGCGCACCCGTACGCGCCTGTTCCCAGGGCGTGGGAATGAGACCGTACTCTGCTCCCCACTGGAGAACGGTTGATCTATGGATGTTGCCTTTTTCCTCCCCTCCCATTATATGCATAAATTACATGGTTCTCTATGTCTTGTGGTTTCACTATTAAAAGTACAATTTCAAGTCATATAGATTGGAGGCTCTTTAAAATTTCAGTTTCAAGTCACATATAGATTTGAGGCTTTGGGTACAGACGTGCGCTTTTTTGGTTTTCCCTATGGCAGTGCGGTAGGAAGAGGACAGGAGGCTGGGGGAACTGCTCAGTCACCTTGGGCAAGCTCCTTTTGTGGCGGTCTCTCCCCTTTACTAAGGGGACTGGCCCGGACGCTCTCTGAAGGCCGTTTCTGTCTCCTGGGACATTCTAGTAAAATTTAGGTCCCCGGGAAACTAGATGGGGAAGAAAGACCTGAAACGGCAATTCTAGGAGAAGATACCTTTCCCTGGACACAGTGCCTTTCTTTGTTCCCTCTCAACAGGAGCTGAGCATTTAATTAAATGCCAGTCACTGGTGATGAAGAAGTGAAGGGGGGAAAGGCACATTTGTTGCCTTCAAGGATCTTGTCTTTGTCGGAGGGACAGCACTGGTCGAGGAATCCCACAAATCCATGCAAAGAGCTGTAGTAATTGATGGTGTCGCCGTGGTCTGAAGGAAGAGTAGGAGCTGAGGACTTCCAGAGGCACAGTGGAGTTAGGGGGAAACACCTCCTAAACTGAGGGGCCAAAATCTGCGAAGGCCTTGCGGGTGATGAGAAAGGAGAAGCTGTTGGGTTGCAGTGCACGTGGAGGCTGGAGTGGAGGCAGGGAGCCGCCCTCCTGGGGCTCTGTGGTGATGCCAAGGACTTCTTCTAAGAGTAGTGGGACCTGGCTGAAGCGCTTAAAAAGCAGGGAGGATCAAAAGCATAATGGAGGGGGGAGATCTTTGTAAGTGGATCCGAGTGCCGTGTGCCGCCTTTGCACAGTGATGTGACGCTCTCTTCCCTCGCTCCGTGTCGTTTTACCGCTTCCCTCATTGCTTACCTTTTCAGGGCTCTCTCTGAACTTCGGCTCCGATTGTGTGTTGAGGCCTGAGCGCCTGGACAGACAGCCTTCCAAGCTGTACTCCAGCCTCTCCAACATGCATTCCTACTGCCCCTTCCCGCTTGGCTACCAGGATGGATCCCCGCCTCCGGGGGCCCTCCTGCAGCGGGGCTTCCGGCACGTGTCCTGCAGTCCCTACCACAGAGGAGGCTTGGTAAGTCCCCCCCTCGCTCCTTTCCTGCTTCCTCCTTATCCCACGTGCCCTTTTGCTATTACGGACCCTCAGTCCCAGGCAGCGACCCGCTGTGCCAGTCTGTGCCAGGCCCCGAGCACGCGTAGGACGGATACAACATCGGCCTTGTGCAGTGTACACCTGTGGGAGTGCGCATATGTGGGCAAGTCCATTCGTGTGCAGACAAGTTGGCCTGGGCTGTGGCGTGTGCTTTTCAGAGCTGGGCGCTCAGGTGAGAAGGAATGCAGACACATCTCAGATAAACCTGGGAGGAACCACACAGTACCACTGACCGAGTGAGGGACCGCCAGCCTGGACTCACGGAATGCTGGTGTTGGAAGGGCGCTTCATTTTGCTCCTGGCACCACACTGTTGAGGGCAGAGCCAGGAGCACACGTAGGTCCCCTGCCCAAGTGTGTGGGCCACTTGAGACTGCAGAGGGCTTTCGGGAGGAATTCAAGCTTAGTCATGAAAAATATGGAAACTTTCCCCCAAACATAGGCCTGGAGTTTTGAATACTGCGTATGGAAGAGTCAGGCCATCCCTGTTATGTAAGGTACAAGTCGGGGTGACCAGGTTTTGTGGCCTTGGTTACCGGCTCCTTCCAGAGCGGTTGAAAGTCCTTCCCCTTTTGGCAACCCTGAGATGTGTCATGACTGCAGGGTCACCAGAGGCCCGGGTAGCCAGTCCTGCCTTTGGGCCCATAAGGCTGGGCCTGTGGGGAAGGTCCACTCCAGTGCGGCTCAAGCTCACGGAAAAGTAGACCTCGGTTACCTTTCCTCGCTCCCTCAGAGCTAAAAGCCCAACAACCCTGGGTGTTAGATGTTTCTCTTGGGTGGAGGGTAGAGAAGAGCGAGAACAGAGCAGGCTTCTTTGTTTACTGTGGAAAGTGATTGAGAAGGAGGAGGAGCACCTGACATTTCCATGCCGTGAGTCTTAGCTGCAGAGTGTGGAGCGGGTCCGATGAGCTTCCAGATGTGTCCAGGCGGGTCCGGCACACCGGGCGCTGGGTCCCCACTCCTGCTGCCGCCCCAGCAGCATCTCCTCAATTTCGGATTGAGTTCTGCTGATAAGCCATTTTCCATTGATCCAAGGGGAAACAGTTTGGAAACCACTGGTCTTGATAATGTCTGGGGTGCCTCCTAATCCTTATGTGAGCCATCGGGGTGCGTGCTCTGTATCCCTCCACTGTAGAGTGGAGGAAGAAGACTCAGAGAAGGTAAGTATTTGCTCATGGTCACAGAACCGGGGAGTGACGGACTGGGACTCACATTACATAGCTGGTCAGTAACAGAGCAGCAGTCACCCCAGCTCTGGAGCCCTGGCACTTTCTGCTGCCTGGGGTGTTGTCTTGTCATGCGGAGGCAGAGCAAACATGGCCCTTGACTCTCCCATCCCCCACCCTGAACTCTGTGGGTGCTGGCCACCCCACTGCAGCCCAAGGAGAGCACAGCGCCTCCAGCCCTCACACAAAGAGGGGGCTCTGGCCAAGTGGAGCACGCACCCACCGTCTGCTCACACAGAAGCTTGGATGGAGCCTGGCGTCCAGGGTAGCGCTTTGATTGACAGGCTTGCCAGACGGCCTTTGTTAAGAGTGTGATCTCAGTTGGTTTATCTGGGCCTGAGCTGCCACCACAGGCCCCAGGCAGGAGCTGTGATCCAGGGAGAGGCTTGGCTGAGCAGCTTGGAATTAAAGCACTAATAATCCCCCTTCCCACCCCCTCCACGTCTGGATAGAGGATCAGGGGTTTATTTGTGAAGTTCTTTCAAACCCAAGAACCTATGAATTGCTTTCATCCTTGTCCTGCTGCCCCCCTGCCCGGGCTCTGAGATACTCTCCGGAGAGGTCTTCAGCCTCCTCTTCCTGTCCCTGCCCCGTTTGCTGCTGCTTTACTTCCTCTGTTCTCTTCCCACAAAACAGCACCAGCTCGGAGCCCGACAGACCTGGGATCCAATCCTACCTCCATTGTTTACTAGCCATATGGCCCTGGGAAGTCATCTAACCTCTGAGGATCTCACTCAGGGCCCCCGTCCGTATAGTAGGGGTAAGAGTATCTATCTCGCAGGGCCACTGACAGACAGAAACGGTGTCATGCGTGGTGATATGTGCCTGGCACAGGATCTGGCAGGTAGTAGGCACTTAACTTAAAGGTGGGCTTTCTTCCTTTCCTTGGAGTCAGAGTAAGTTAGGAAGTGATTTTTGCAGACTTCCTCAAGGCCTTAACATGCTCGTGTGTGACACACCAATGCGGGGGCAGTGGGTGGGGTTTCTCAAACTCCCTTGACAAGAACACTTTAAGAGCACGTAAAATCTCTTCTAGGACATTAGGGTTCTCCAGAACACAGCTTGTAAAGTGCTGCTCTAAAGGATCTGGATGGAGAAGTAAATAATAGGAGCTGCATCTGAAGTTTATTATTATTTTTTATTACATTCATGTCTTTGTGTGTTAAGCTCCAATCTGTGTAGTCCCCACTCCAGATGCCCCCATTCCAGCCTTGGGGTCCTGTGGCATGAGCTCAGCCTCCATGTCCTGAAGAAGGAACAGAAATGTGGAAGGGCCGATCGCCGCAGTTGCTTTGCTGAGGTCCCCCAGGTTCCCTGGTCTCCGACAGCTGCACCGCACCCTGTTATATTGGAACAGGGCCTCCAAAGGCCCCCTGCCTCTCGATTCTAAGTCCTTAGCTGTACCAGAACATGGGGCCACAGGTGGGGGGGGGTTGCCTTCAGACCCTTCCCCAGTACAGAGCAGCTGAGTCTGACAAACTCGGGCTCCAGCTCTGCCTCGGCCGCTTACCAGCTCTGTGGCCCTGGGCCTGAAGCTTCACCTCACTGACTGTTTTCCATTATTATAGTGAGGATGCTACTAGAACCTCCCTCCTAGGGCCATGAGGGTGGAGAGAGGTCATGGATCTAAGCGTACACAAAAGGCCTCTGTGTGACTGTGGCCATTCCCCAGGCTCACCTGAGATGTGCCAGTATTTCTTCTTGCCTTCATTCATTTGGTGGGTGTTTGCCGAACACCCTGTTCCAAGCGCCCTGTGCCCAGGTGTTTGGGCCAGAGAGGTGAATCGACCCCTTGGGGAGCCCCCTCATTTAGGAGTATGAGACCTGTTTGATCAGCCCCTCGGGCTAAGCCTCTTCCTCCCCGGCTTCTCGGCTTCTTGGCTGTGTGTGTGCCCTGCAGGTGTCGGAGAACGTGGGAGACTTCCAGCCAAGCTACTACCCGCCGCCGCCGCCGCCGCCACCGCCGCCACAGCAGCAGCCGCAGTTCCTCCCGCCGGGCTTCCTGTCTGCGCTGCACTTCCTCCCGCCGCCGCCGCCACCACCGCCGCCGCCCGCATCTTTCTCTCTCGCTGCCCTGTCTGATACAGACAAGGAAACCGCTGGTAAGTGAGCTCTAGCCCAGCGTCTGGGGGAGCCAGGAAGACATTCTAGAGGAAGGGGGTCCTGAGCTGAAGTGGCTGTGGAGAGCAGGGAAATGGAGAACAGAAGTTAAAGTGTACTGGACCCTGGGATAGGCTCTTTCCTTATACCCCTCCATTCATTCCATATGCAAGCATCTAAGAGAGAGGGTCCCCAGTCTCAGATGAGAAAACCTATAGCACCTTGAGAGGTTCTATGGCAGATGGCAGAGCTTGGATTTCAACAGAATTCTGTCTGGATCCAGGTCCGCTGCTGATTCCCTCCCCTTATCAGTGCCTGTGGGCAAAGGCGTGAAGGATGCCATGCACGTGGTGTGTTCAGAACACCCGAGGTGCCAGGCTTCTCTGGCTCGGCTGGGGCTTCTCTTGCTCGGCTGGGGCCTCTCTGTCTGGGGAGACAGCAAATGCTGAGCCTGGGGCAGTAGCTGGAGCTGGGACAGGCCTGCTGGGAATGGCTCCTCTACCTCAGGCCACTCCTTAGAGAGAAACAGACCAGGAGCTCAGGACCCTGTCCTTTGCAGCTCTGCCACTGGTGCACTGGGAACCTCGGGCACTTGTACCCTCTCTAGGACTCAGTCTTCTCATCTGTAAAATGGGTCATGTCACAGGGTTCCTGTGATAGTCTGTTGAAATTTTGGATGTAGAGATGCTTTGGTTTTCTTTTGAGGACTCTTGCAGCTTCAAAGGTTCTAAGATATTTTTTCCCCTTTCAATCTTTCCCTGAGGCTCCTTAGGAAAAGAAACTAAGGCCTATTAAACACTTGGCTGTGTGTGAGATGCTCAGGTGCATGGGATGTAGCGTGAAGCACGCTGGCCCCCGAGCCAGAAAGCCTGGGTATCGGTCCTGGCTCCAGCATTTACCACCTGTGCAACCTTGGTCAAGTTCATTCACTCCTTGGTGCCTCAGCTTCACCTTCTGCAAAAGTGGACTAATAATGGTCCCTACCTTATGAGGTGATTCAGAGGATTAAACTAAACCTAGAACGAGGAAGGCATTAGCGTTCTCATCGTTTCCCCCAATTCCCCTTGCTGACCTTGATGATGCCGGGTAGCTCTCATTTGACAGAAGGAGGCTGAGGTTCAGAGCTGGGGAGTAGCTTGCGACAGGCAGAGCTGGAGTTTGAACCTGAGTCTGTGTTGTGTGGCGGGGACTAGGTTGCCGGTGTCCAGACTAGCAAATGAGAGGCAAAGTCCGTCTCCGTAGGAACCGGGAAGGGTGAGAGTGCCTTACAGAAAGTTTACATCTGAAAGTAGGTAATCTTCCTCCGGTGAATCCTGTAAATCTAGCCCCTCTTCTTTGTCCTTCACAGACGACCAGGATATGGAGGTGTCTGCACCAGAGGTGCTGCCCGAGGTGCCGCCCGAGGAGGAGGAGGAGGAGGAGGAGAAGGAGGAGGAGGAGGAGAAGGAGGAGGAGGAGGAGGTTGAGCCGCCGCCTGAGCCCAGCCAGCCGCCCTCTCAGGAGCAGTCTGACTAGGCCCGGCCGCTCGGGCCAGCAGCGTGGGGGCTCGGGGGTGTTACAGCAATGCTGTTCTTGTCTGGGTTCAGGGATGGGTAGGGAGGAAGGATAGTAGTAGGCATAAGTAGCAGTTAATTTCCATTTCAAGACAGGAGGAAGGAGGGTGCTTTCTAAGGTTCTCTAAGAACAGGATGGAGGATGGTTAGCGGAGAGGGCCAGGGCTCTGAGGGGCGGGGGGGGGGGGGGGGGGTGGGGGGTTGCTGGTGGAAGCTCACGTTTAGGAATGAATTTAACCGTGTCCAGGTTGCGCCGCTGTCCGATTCACTCCCAGACGCGGTCTTTGATTTCCTCAGGCCGGGTTCCAGGATGGGAGGCCCATCTATTTCGGCCTTCTGCTTCTGCCTCCGCTTGGTCCCCTCTGGGAGCAGACACCAGGCTTCCAGCACATCCAGGTGGCTGGTGTGAGCAGCGGGGACCAGGGCGCTGGCAGCAGGTTCTGCAGCGCCCTTCCTTGCTGCTCGGGCTCCCGAGCTGCCCCGCCCCTACTCCAGTACTAAGCGTCCTGACCGCTGGTGCTCCCATCCGTAAAGTTTGAGCCATTGTAGGCATCATTTCTGCTTTAAAAAATCTGTTACAGTTTGACTATTTGATAGTTTTATAGTGATTGCCAACTTTAAAAAGGAGGCTGTTTGTAAGCACTGAGGCGATTCTCAAGATAGTAGAACGTGCTTCTAAATCATCTCTGGCATCCGTTCCTTCTCTGGGGACAGTTGACTGTTGAAATAAAATGAGCATTGGAAATCATTGTGGAAGGTTTATTCTGTCTCTAAATCCTTGCAGAAGGCAGTGTTGGGTTGGGGGTCCGGGGCCTGGCAAGCTGCTCCCTGGTCTACCTCTCCTTTCCCTTTACCTCTATTACCGAAAGAGAGGCTTGGGCTAGGCTACTAGATTTTTTATTATCATTATTGTTACTATCGCTACTCTTTTCTTAAGCGGTGGAGACCTTTGGAGGAAATCGGATGCAGACACAAAAAGATTTTTTCTAGTCCCCCTTCCCCAGCTGTGTGGGTGGGCAGAGACAACCTTCTGGAGTAGTTGGGGCCTCAACTACATCTTACGTAAAAAAAGTTTTTTTTAATATTTATTTTTGAAAGAGAGAGAGAGAGTGTGAGCAGGGGAGGGTCAGAGAGAGAGGGACAGAGAGAGATACAGAATCCAAAGACAGGCTCCAGGCTCTGAGCTAGCCGTCAGCACAGAGCCCAACGCAGGGCTCGAATCCACGAACTGTGAGATCATGACCTGAGCCGAAGTCAGATGCTTAACCAACTGAGCTACCCAGGCGCCCTTCAACTACATCTTAAAGAGCAAGAGTGAATTAGGTGAAAGTAGGCACTCCCAGTAGGGGGTGCAGAAAGAGAATAGGGGGCCTGGAGTGAAGGATTCTGGGTGAGTCCAGGGGAGGACTGGCCTTCAAGAGAACAGAGCGACCTGCTTCCTGCCTGACCTGTAGCATCCTCACAGGACAAGTGGCAGGAAGATCACCAAGAAGTGCTCCTCCGTGTTCTCCCGACAGTGTAGTGGTCAGGCCTGGGCCCGCTCTATCGGAAGCCACTGGAGCAGGTAGAGCCCTAGGAATTTTTCAGTTAGTGCTTTACAGGCCGTGCTTTCAGCAGGGCAGACCCAAGCCCTGCAGACCTGTAGGTCAGCTCTGGCTTCAGTCTGGTTTTGGATTAGCCTGGCTTTGAGGCTGAAACCCCCCTGCCCCCCCTCCCCAGTCCTGTCCGTGGGTCCACAGTACTGCAGGGGCCCTGGGTTCCATTTGGCCTCTCCCCCTGACCTCACTGGACCCTGACCTTCTGTCAGAATGGCCAAGTGAGGCTGGATCGGTGCCTCTTTTTCAATACACTTTATTTGATCTTAGCCTCCATGTTTTTTTGAAAGATTTTTCAACCATGCTGCATTAATCAAAGCATTTTTGATCAATGCACACAGAGAGGTAGGAGAGTCTGACCACATGGACTCTAAAACTCCAGACCAGTGCAAGGAAACCGGATGTTTAGTTAGCCTGTGGGATTGGAGATGGGACGCTCTGGCCTGCTGAGGTCAGTGTCCTGTTGCCAGAGTCCATGTCCCCAGGACTCCAGGAAGAGGAGGACTGCTCAGTTCTACAGGCCTGTGCTCTGAGGAATGTCTGAAGACTGTGTGGCATCTTTCCTGGACCCTTGAGAGTGCCTACTGCAGTGAAAAGACTCTGGGATGGGGTCGGAGATCTGCCTTCTTCCCTCACGCCTGGTGTGAAGCCCAAGTTCCGAGAGCCCCGGCTTGTCCCTTCCTGTGTGTTCTCACCATGCTTATTTACCTTGGTGGAATCGGTGGACCCCTGCTCCCTGCAGTCTTTCCAGTCAATCCAGTCTACGCTCCCTGAATGCCCTGTTCCTCCAGCAGCTTCAGCGTGAGCACTGAAACACAAGATCTGAGCATGTTGCCTTGCTCACACACCTATGGCTCCCTACTGCTCTGGGGCCAGTATCTTTAACAGTCTGCCCATCTCTCCAGCCTCTTCTCTCACTGGCTGGCCCAGCCCAGGTCTTGCAGGGGTGGAGTCTGCCAGGTCCAGGCAGAAAAGGATGGGAAGCAGAGATACCCGCAGCTAGCAGCAGCCCTGCTCTCCCCTAAAAGCCAAGGCCTGGCTATGAGCTGGGAGAACGTTCTGGAAGGCAGCTGGCTGGCATTGCCGGACGCCGGAGGGAGGTACTGTCAGGGAGCCGCCAGGAGAGGGCGCGCGGAAAGCAACTGGGCGGGGCCTGTTGCTAGCGACTGGCCACAGCGAGGCACGCAGGCCCGTTGCCAGCCGAGCTGGAAGAATAAGTTCCCGCGCTCAGGGCTTGAAGCGCCCCCCAGAGACTGGGAAATCCCTGGGAAATCAGAATGAGGCGCCTGGGTGGCTTAGTCGGTTAAGCGTCCGACTTTCGCTTGGGTCATGATCTCGCGGTTCGTGGGTTCGAGCCCCGCGTCGGGCTCTGTGCTGACTGCCAGCTCAGAGCCTGGAGCCTGTTTCAGTCTGTGACTCCCTCTCTCTCTGACTCTCCCCTGCTCACGCTGTCTCTCTCTCTCTCCTAGAAATAAATAAAACATTAAAAAAAATTTAAAAAAAAAAAAAAAAGAATGATGAGCCTCTAGGCTGGGCTATGTGATTGCCAACTGCTCAGCAATCATCTGTGCTGTGCCTGTGAAATAGACGCCCTCCTGTATTTCAGACACCAGCCCCAGTCCCAACCCCAGGGTCCCATGGCTTAGTCTTCGTCCTCGCCTTCTGGCACTTTTGCACGTGCTTCCAGCTTCACCTACTCATCTCCTACTTACCCGTTCAGACTTAGCGCACCTGCCGCCCTCCTCCAGGCCATCTCAGCCTGTCCAGGCCCCTCTGTAGCCCTCTCTCGCACGGATCCCACCGAATAGATGTCCCTCTCCCAAGTCTTCAAGTTTCCTGCAGGCAGAGACCAGGTCTCCTTTGTCCCTGTGTCCCCAGTTCCCAGTGTGGCCTCAGCTTAGGCAAGTTCCTGTTACAGAATGAACGGTGGCATCTCAGGGCCATTTTGTGGATTTAGGGGTGGGGAGTTGAGATGCCCTGCTGTCGCCACTCGCCGCTGCATCTTTTGCCTTACCTTTGTGCTCTGTCTGCTGGGATCCCACATGGGCAGAGAGACAGGGAGGGAGGCTTCACTGAAACTATGCTGTATGCTGAGCACTGCACTCCTCCTCTCATTTAATCCTCACAACAACCCACGGAAGAGGTGCATTATCATCCCTATTTTATGAAGGAAAGGGAGGCAAAGAGAAGGATAGCAATTTGCCCAATGTCACACAGCTTCTAAAGGTGTGCAGGGGGCCACATCCATGGGCACAGTTACAGGGTTTTGGGGTTTGTTTTTTTAATTAAAAATTTTTTTTTTAATTTTTTAAAAAATTAAAACGTGTATTAAACGTTTTATTACAACGTTTATTAAAATTAAACGTTTTATTAAAACGTTTATTAAAATTAAACGTTTTATTAAAACGTTTATTAAAATTAAACGTTTATTCGTTTTTAAGAGACAGAGACAGAGTGCGAGTGGGGGAGGGGCAGAGAGAGAGGGAGACACAGAATCTGAAGCAGGCTCCAGGCTCTGAGCTGTCAGCACAGAGCCCGACGTGGTGCTTGAACCCACGAACTGTGAGATCATGACTTGAGCTGAAGTCCGACGCTTAACCGACTGAGCCACCCAGGTGCACCAGTTAGAGTTTTTAGTATGCATTTTCCCCTGAGTGACTATCTTCAGATTTTTTTTCAACCCTGTGAGTGCTCCCTCGTTTCTGAGCAGATTCTAGCATAGCATAGGGAGAGCGGCCTAAGGACCTTTGCCTCTGGAAGCCACGTCCCACTCTACTGACCGCAGTACACAGAGGCTCCTGAGAAAATGCTAAGTAGGCATCATGGTGATGAGTGTGGGCAGGGCCCTCCGGGCCTCGGCCAGAGGTGGTCGGCATCTCCTGTGGCCTGGGGTTCACCGTAAGCCCCACTGTGTGAGCCAGGACTGTCAGAATGCTGGTTCTTGCGGCTTGTCTTCTAAGGCTGCACTAATAGGTTTGGTTCCTCAAACCTTACCGGAGAGAAGCTCTCCCACCATGATGCCCCCAGTTTTCCTGGAGACTGGGGTGGGGGTGCTCTGCACCCTCTCGGAGACAAAACACACCCCTCTGGGCCCAATGTGGGAGAGGAGATCCACTCCTTACAGCTCTGGGTATCCTCACAGCTCCTTCCACTCCTCAGTGCTGTGGTCTTGGTGGACCTGGTCCTACGTTCCTCTTACTGGGGGCTGCTCAGAGACCCTAGCTGGGTTGTAGCCTGTCTTGTGGGCCATGCCCCAGGGTCTTCAGGCCCCACTCCTCCTCCTTGCCTCTTCCCACTTGTGTGTTCTTGGGCACATCACATCTCTTCTCTGAGCCTCCCTTTGCCCCCTGTAACATTGGTTCAGGGATGTGCTGAGGAGGCAGGAAGCTCTTATATGAAATGCTTCTTCTTTTAAAAAATTTTTAACGTTTATTCATTTTTGAGAGACAGAGTATGAGTGGGGGAGGGGCAGAGAGAGGGAGACACAGAATCTGAAGCAGGCTCCAGGCTCTGAGTTGTCAGCACACAGCCCGATGCAGGGTTCAAACCCATGAACCGTGAGATCATGACCTAAGCCAAAGTCAGACACTTAACCACCTGAGCCATCCAAGAGCCCCTGAAATGCCACCTGTCAGTATACAGTATGTGGTACCTGTGTCGTTGGATGATTGACAGAAGCCTCTTCTTTGAAACTGTGTCAGGAGGTTAAGAATTGCAAAGGCCAAGAGCTGTGGCTCTTTACTACCTGGTGCTCCCCATTGCCAGGCACTGTACTGAGCACTTTTCACAAATTCCCTCTGCGAATTCTCACAGTGACTCCTCCAAGCAGGCACCATAATGCCCCCAACTTACAGATGGCAAGACCGAGGCCTACAGAGTTTAAGCTCTTGTGCTCGGCCATAGTGCCTATATATGGCAGAGCCGGGGTTAAATCTGAGTTCCACCTGAATCTAGAGCTAAGTTCCTAACCACAGTGTGCCTTCCTGCTTCCCAGCAAGGGAGAGCCATGGGTCTTGGGGAAGTCGCGGTGCATCCCGGGGGGCTTGCTGTCCAACTGTGGTCCACCCAGTCCAGCTGGTTTTCAAGACGTGGACACAATGAATACAGAGCAACTCAGCTCAGGTCTTACACAGGAATGAAATCATTAAAAACC